GGCAGGATGGCTCTGCCTGGGCAGTGGTACCCTCCGGGGAGACCCGCTGCCCAAGAGACAAGGTCTCCGTGTATTCTCATTAAGTAGTAATTAAGAACAACTCATCCTTGCAGCTTAGTGGCAACGAGGGGGTCCTCCTGCGACCAGAAAGCGCACTAAACCCAGGCCTGATTCAGACCCCCCCCCCGTTACCTTTGCAGATGGGCAGGGGTCCGCTCCAGTGGGACGGCTGACCCAGGATGCACTTGATGGTAACTTCCCCCATGAGTTCAAAGCCCTCATAGCACATGAAGGTCAGGGACTCTCCCGGCAAGTAGAGGCGTTTATAGAGTATTTGGTAGCCGTTTTCCGGCAGTCCTGGGTTATCGCAGGCCAGCGACTCCTCGGCTGAAAGGGAACACATCCCAGGTGAGCCCCAGGCCTTGGGCTGCTGAGGGAGAGGAGCCTGGGGGGCAGTAGGGAAGCACCTGAGATCTCACCCCAACCCGCATTCAAGTAGCTCAGAGCTCTGCACCACCTTGCGTGGCTGGGAAAGGTCTTGGCCCCAGGAAAGGGCTTCCCAGGACCCCCCGGAGCAGAGGAGCCAAGCTGCGGGAGAGCAGGAGAAACTGCCCGAACTTACAGACGCAGTGCGGGAGCCGTGAGGTCCAGATGGGTGTCCCCGTCTCACGGCTGTAGCAGGTCAGCAGCGAGCTGCCCTCCAGCACGAAGCCGGGGTTGCACGTGTACTGAATGGTGGTCCCCACCAGCAGCACCGGGTCGGAGATGAGGCGGGTTGAGTGCTCCACCTCCCCCGGGTCCGTGCAGTACATAACTGCAGAAAAGAGGCCGTGTGAGTGGGGAGCCCCAGCACAGCGGCGGGGACCACAGTGGCCCCGAAGCGCTGTGGGTCACAGGGATGCGATGGGGACAGCAGCATGTTGCTCGGGGCGCTGACGCTGCTTCCCGGGGGCCGCAGCACTCACTCTTTTCGCAGAAGGGGGGGTCGCTGCTCCAGCTGAGGTCCCACTGGCAGGTGAGGGTGTCGCTCCCCACGATGTC